TGAAAGGGGAATTGCTTACTATTGCGTTTTGCTCATATAGTTGTGCCGATTTTAATGAAGTAAGAAACAGCCAATCGAAACGAAAGGTGTTATGCATGAGGTCAGACGCAGCTGCGGGTAAGCTTAGCTATGCATTCACATCGCATAATCAATCAAGATTTACATGTCTGATGTCTTTCAGAGATCAGAGTACACAATGAAAAGCCTCCTTCTCTTTGCTGAATTGAAGCTTGGGATATCAACTTGTCTACACTTTCAAATGACGATGCCTAAAAATCTCCCATCTTTTTTCATTGGCACAAAGCAGAGGACAACTCTAGTATATATGAACAACTTATCGCCCCCTTGAATGTTCCTTTTCTTTTTGCCTTCAAAACGTGCAACTTTCTCCTGTAACTTTTGGGTGCAAGTACATTAGAATTGCAGAGTTTATTTTTCTGAACCTTAGTCCACCACGTTACTACTGAAGAGCTTGAACTGGTTGGCATCAAGAATTAACTTCCTTATAGAAGAAAATGCGTCCATTAGTCCTGCGACAGTGAAGACGATGATGATCGAGATGTTGATCAAGTAGGTTAAGGATAATTTCATTGGCTTGAATGTCCTGTTGTAGAGAACCGTCGGAAGAACGAAATCTAGAGGGATGAAGCCAATAGCTCCCACGACACCGTTGATGTCCCCAAAGAAGGAAGCATGGCCACCATGAACCCACAAAACACCACGTGCAACGTCCAAAGAACTATCCTAGGAATAAGGTTGCGCATGGAAAATATTCCTTGCTTCACATCGGCTGATTGGCTTTCCATGATCTCGTATGCCACTTGAGAGTAGACCTGTTTCCATGCCCTTGGAGATGAGTTTAGAAATTCCAATCAAATGAGTACTTTACTACCACTACTAGTGTGATTACCAGGCCAATGGCAAAGAGCTGTAGGAGGACAAAAACCACGCCGAGGCCTAGAACCCAAGTCGGAGCTAAAGCGGGTCCGTCATCTGGCAGTAGGCTTTTGAGTATGTTTGAGTTCGATTTGTTGCCGAAAACCCAGTATCCAGACACAGCAGCAGAATAGAATGTGACAAAGATCACTGCATAACATATGAGAAGGCCTTTAACCATCTTCCCAGTCACAGGTGGAGCCAGAGTTGCCTGCGATGAAGCGTAAAAATATAGAGCAAAGTTAATGTTTTTTAACAGCTAATGGATATGAACCTACATTGCTAGATAATACTAATCGTCAACATGTCTTTCTAGTACTTGATGTTTCCTAGCCCAGAATTTGAACTGTCTACGCACGCAAACTTATGTTGATTTTAAAAAGATGAAACAGAAGTCGAGGTTTACTTGTATTTCAGGCAGTATCCCATTCCCATAAATGGCAGCTATAATGGATATGGAAGTGAAAGCACTAGAAATCCTTGCTGACTCCGAAGATTCCAAGGCATAGTCTCTTGGAGGGGCATTCTTTGATAAACCTGCAAGATGTAAAAGTTGGTTAGATGGCCAGGATGGAAATAGAGTAGTTTGCTTTAGGAATATTGCTGCCACTTCTATGATTTCTATGTGGAAGAGGTTACAGAATTCATTTATGCCATAGCTAACTCGTGCCTGTACAAAATTTGACCTCCATGAAGAACATACATGACAAATTTCTAGGAGTTCAAAGTGAAATAGGAAATGTGAAAAGCTGGAAGACTAATTTTTCAGTTTGAACTTTCACATAAAACTGAAAATAAGACTGGCCACTGCGCTCAGCCAAACATTCATTGCTCTCTACGGGGAAGACTGGATAGTTAAGTTCTAGTTCCTTCTCTCCGCAAGAGCTCTGATAATGAACTTTCTAAATGGACCTCGAAGGAAGTATGCAAGTGTATGAAAGTTCCACAAGAATCCTCCAACACGCCATGCATCTTATTCAGAGATGAACGCAGTGATTTTTATGCAGATTTCACTTCCATATATGACATTTGTTCGATTACCAATCACGTATCAATATCACTAGTTTTTATTTTGAGCTGCTAAGAAACATTTCACCTTCCTAAAGTAGTGGCTCTCAGTATTATTTAAATTTATGTTTTCCACAACGGTGTATTATAATCAGGGTTAATACCACGAAAAACCTCAAATTAGTAAATTTATGACAAAATTTACCTTAAACTAATTGGTAAACCTGTGACAAATTTATCTTTCGTTAGTTTTCATTAACTTTTACCGTCAAATTGCTGAGTTGAATGACAAATGGCAGTTGACGGGTGTTCCAATTGAGGTTTTACCCTCCGTTTGTCATATGTGTACTAGTTTGTGGTTTTTCGTGATATCAATCCAATTTAAAGAAAACTAATTAAGGGTAAATTTATCACAAATGTACCAGTTTTGGGGCTTTGGTGGTCAATAAATTAGTTTGAGATAAATTTGTCACAAATGTATCAGTTTGGGATATTTGGTGATAAAAAAATTAGTTTGAGGTAGATTTATCATAGATGTACCATTTGAAGGTTTTTCGTGTTATTAACCCTTATAATTACGATATTGGAATATTAGGCTGATTTGATTGTGATATACGTTTTGTCCGGTATTTATTTAATGTCTATTTTCCATCCCTCCTAAAGATTAAAGAAACACAAAAAAAAAAAAAAAACCATTGTCATTTGCCAATCATCCTAGTATTTGTTCCAAAGAAAGACAGCGACACGCTCTTCCAAATTATCCTCTTTTATAGGTAGTTTTCGAGCTTTATGTATTCCCCAAATTTCACACTCTCTTATGTCCATCGTCGAATCAGAGCATCTTAAACCTCTTTATCGTGAAAAGAAATCCCTTTTTCACCGTGCGTATCACGCAAAAATCTAACTCTCCAGTCATGCACCCAAAATTAATCGCAACACGATGGTCTTAATTAATGAATTATCGAGTTATGTAATTTTGGGTACTATATGATTGAAGAAAGTGTCATTTTCCCACGACAGAGTCGTGGCAAGAGAGAAGCAGATAGCAGCCTACTACTAATTTGTTGATTAAGGGTGCGAATGATAACCATTATGTTTCTCTATTTTTTTTATTTTTCAATTCCCGGGAATAGGTTTGGAACAAAAATCAGTTTAGCGGCGCAATTTCATTTTTCTATTTCTACGACAAATTTTTAACCTAGAAATAAGTTTGGAATAGAAATGAGAAGTAGAAATTTTCTAATTTTCTGTTTCTTGAATATAAACAGAAATAACAATTCTTCTCAAAGCTCGCACTCGCCGCCCGCCGCTTGCCGGTCGCCGCTCGTCGCCCACCGATGAACGAATTCTACATCAATGCTAATAAACAAATTGTATATCGTTATCAAACACTACCTTCTGCTCAGAAACTCGTCTAGGGAATAAAAATAGAAAAATCTATTTCTAGTTAGAAATTAGGCCCGAAAACATAATGGTTATAATTCGCGTAATTAACAGTTCAAATCTTGGAAAAGGAATAAATATTAGGGTACTAGAAACAGGGGTATGGCCCAACCACGTGTTATTCAGTGGTACCCAAATCCCACCTCCACCAGCTGAGCGGAAAGTGTGATTTACAGCATTCTGGATGTAACAACAATGTAATTGGTGCATGGTCCTTTCACCTCTCAGCTAAGAGGACGACATGGTTACCATGGCCGGTGGTGCTTTTTTGAAGTATGCCAATGTGCCTGGGAATGGTTATAATAGGTCAATGTCCTGTGATGACTGGCTGACTCAAACTACAACAAAATCCAACACGATTCACTCATCAATGCGTATGACCTCCTTGTGTTGTAAAGCGGCCACTCACAAATGTATGATCTCCATAGGACTTTCTTTTCTGGACCAAATCCCAGCGCTGAAGTCACATTATTTTGATCAGACTCTTGGTTTGATCTGCAACAGCATTTATCGAAGTGCCATATGATTTGGGATTATGATGCATACATGGAGGCTGGTTAGAGCCTACTATAAGGGATCGATCGATGTTAACGGCCAAGGGACGAAGATGTCACGTGGACGCATGAAAACAACAAACACTGGAGATCAAAGATAAATAAACCTGAGATGCCACTCGACCAGCTCACGAACACCACTCAACGTTTCTAAGTGCATGAATTGGTACACTTCACATGATTATACATGTTCCACGTCCTAAAGGATAGCTTCAGTTTCCACAAACGCCAAAAGAAGCATGGAAACTTTTTAGGTATACTTGCTCAATACCTCCAATTGAACTTTGGCACTATTATGCAATAGCTCTCGAATTTTGAGAAATTACAAATTATTCGCTCAGCACCATTGTTCAATAGCTTGCGAGTTTTGAAAAGTTACAAATTACTCTCCAAGCTTTCAAATTTTTTTTTTTTGCAACCGTTAGTTTTTCCGTCTGAATTGCCGTTAACTATTACTTGAAAAGAGAATAACTCATTTGTAGAGATCTGTGTAATTAGATAAATTATACTTACAACCTTTTTCTGTGAAGGATCACAACGAACCTCTCCCGTTCCACTGATGAAAATTTTGATATATTGCTTTAATTAAATGAAGTTGTCCTATGTCAATTTTTTGGGAAAAGAAACATAATGACTCTGCCATTAGGCATAGAAAAAAATCTGACTTTTTTTCTATACTAGTTAGTATGAGGGGTATCCATCTAGATTCTGTGATTCACTTCTACAAAAGACGAGCATGTACTCTTCATATGTAGATATTTTAGAAGGAAAAATCATGTCCATCACTAAGCATAGGAAAATCTTGACATATTGCTCTAATTAGATGAAGTTATCCTCAGCTACCTTTTTGACAAAAGAAACATAATGATCCTGTCATGTTACGCATAGGAAAAATCTGATTTTTTTGCTATAATAATTAATATGAAGGGTGTCCGTCCAGATTTACTGATTTATTTCTATAAAAGACGAGCACTTACTGCATATATGCAAGTCATATTGGATCTATAAATATGTACGTAGGAATGTGTCTTTCAGTTGTACTATCTACTTCCACTTGAGATGGCAAAAGAAAAGTGCATCATCAGAGAGGTCCCTCGTTACCCTCCTTGTTTCAGTGGTTATTGCTGCCAAGATCCGCACTGCTGTAGTAAAGGTATACATTCATATTCCCTACACACATGGCCATATGACGTTTGCTCTTTTGTTAGTCTTATATTTCTCCTGAGGAACTGATGTCCCACCTTAAAAGATTTGTTGTTTCCTTGAATTACAGAAGATGGGTTAGTCGAGGAATTACCCATTGAACTGAAAAATTCGATCTTGCGACTCGATCCATGATTTGGTGCCTTCCAAAGGACCCAACAGTATGGAGCAGTAGTCTCTACTTTTATGAGACTCTTTAATTGTTCTCGACTCATCCAACATCTGAAAGGATCTTGTACGTCCTACAGAAACAAGAAATGAACCACAACTTCACAATAAACGTTTGAGCATCGAATATTAAAATTTGAAAAGGCATTGAGAACTAATATTTTTGTCTTTATATTTTGTATATCATCTTTGTTTAAGGGATCTCATTTACGTATCATTTTTTTTGTCTTCCTGCGAGTTGTAACAATCCACCATTTCGTCAATGATGCTTTATATGTCTGGCCCGAGCACATAATGTTCTGGATCTTAAACGTAGTAACATTAGTCGCTAACAATACACACACAGGTGTAGTGAAGTAGAGATTAAGGTTTCGTAATCATTTCTTACTAATTTTAACAGGGTACAAATACAGTTGGCCAGAGCTTGTGGGATATAACGGAGACAGCGCAAAGGCAACAATTGAGAAAGACAATCCACTGGTGACGGTTTATCAGATTCCCGAGGGAGCTTATAGGCTCACGGACTTCTGCTGTAATCGGGTTTATTTGTGGGTTGATGGTAATGGCAATGTCACTCGGGTACCCACCGTCGGATAGTGTTCAATAGTGTGAACTCAGTTGTTAACCCTTCTCAGAATAATAAAGCTTGTTGAGTTACAGTTGAGAAAATATGACATTACATGTTATTTCGCCGGAATTTCGCCTGCTCACCGAAAGTCGTTCTTTGGCTTTAAATTATAGGAGACAGGTTTTGCATCGACTCCGAACAAAAAATATCACAGGCAAATAAGGGAATCAACAGCTTCAATTCAAACAAAACTATACAGACGTAAATTGTGTCGGAATTTAATTGATGACGCAAAAAATACCTAGTATAGAGATACACGCAAAAATTTAATCGACAATGCGAATCTGAAAACTACAGCTAAGAAACACGTCATAATTTAATCGACGAGTCTTGAAATTAAAAATACAACGCAAGAAAGTAAAGATAATTGAAAGATTGCATTTTGTTTTGGTTTGTAAGGGGCTCCTCAATGGATGGCCAACGGATAATTTTCGTAGCTGCCTTCGAGCGGTTCCTAACGGTTGTGCCCATGCTCCGCCATTTTCAAAAGTCTTGTGCCCATGTCGCCCTAATCTAGTTCTTGTGCAGTTATTCCTTGAAAATTTCATATCAGTTACTCCACGATCTCGATTGCTTTACTTCCCAATAACTTTGAACTGGTATCCATGGATACTCTCTGTGCACTCAACTTTCCTCTAACATCTCAGCCGCTTACCGATTCCTACTTATCGATACTCTTGTTAATTGTTTTCACCCAAACGTCATTCACCTGCCTACTTACAGATGGTAGATCCCAAAATTCTTATTTTAGAAAAGTTTTGAAAATAAAAAATTTAATTCAGAAGAAAATTAATATATCAGACAGTGGATCTTTAATGTTTTCTCTAGTCAAGCCAAAGAATTAAAACAAAGCTATGATGATTACAAGTGAAATCCAGATTTTTTTCTTTGATTGGCTTAATTCAAAGTTATGAAGCTCGTGAAGGTAAAGGGATAAAACTTTGACAGTTTTCATTTCTATGAACTATTAAATATGTCTTGAATTTTATGTACCCGGTCCGTTCATCACCCGACCCGACATATTTTTTGTGCGATCCAAAAGTGGAGAAAAAATTGAGATTTAGTTTGTGATGCGGAGGGTTGGGCTGATAGGCCCAACCCGGAGCAAGCGAACAAATCTTTATGGCGGTCCGCCCAAGTTGGAGTAAGCGAACAAATGTCTCGGGGGGTTCAGGGGGCTATGCCCCCAAGGAAATTTTTTGGGGAGCCCTATTTATACTGCGGCTAGGTTTTTTCATTGATTAAGAGAGATTTTGTTTTGGGAGAGATTTGTGAGCCGTGAGGTTTTGTAAAGTCGTCTTTCGACTTCTGAAAACTGTACTCTCTTTGATTATAGTGGAATCTTGTTTTGCCTCGCCCGTGGACATAGATCACTTTGTGATCGAACCACGTAAATCCTTGTGTTCTGTATTTGTTTTTCCGCGTTTGTTTCGAACATGAACAGTGAAGCTCATTAATCTATTTGCTATTAGACTAGATATGCTGAAATATTTAGAATCTTATCCAAAACATAATAAGGAATCACGCTATCGCCATCTCCGCTAGAACTAAGCCACTTTTTCCCGAGCAACAATCGGTCTAATATCATAAAAATCCCAAACTTTAGGTTCGGTTCTCTACCACAAACCTTTTTTTGTCTAAAAAAAATTAACTTTTCCTTGAGTCTCAAATTTATCTCCTATCAACCGCGGATAAATGAAAAAGACAAAAAAAACAACTGTGAGCCCTCAGGATGGTAGACTGAGGCGATAGCCAACTCCACCATTACACTTCTTTCTCTGGTATCCTACATATTAAAAGCTTGACTGAGAGAGAAGGAGACCCACGGCCCGAAGGGACGAATGGCAGCTTCGATGGCTGGAGGAGGGGCAACGCACGATCCTAACGTCAACGGCTAGGGTGGGTGGCTTGAGGTGGCGTTGAGCTTGGCATCATCATAGAATGGGGGCCTTGAGGTTATCGAAGACAAACAACCCAAAATCGGTTTGAAACTCGCAGCAGCCGTGGCTGTCGAGCCCGAAGCGCGAATGTTAAGAGCTGCAGCGAAGGTGGCTGAGCTTCGAGGGCCGCCTTCTTTCAGAGTCAAATAACACCTATAACAGTTCAGAGCAAGACATGTCGTGGTGCAGTTAGTTACCACCTCCGCCACCAGGAAGGTCTCTGGTTTGAATCTCCGCGTTGCCATTTTTTTTTTCTTCTTTTATGTTATCTGACATGGCATCCAAATTACATGGCGGCATGTATATCAATGAGTTATGCCATCATCAGCAAACTGAGATCCGCATGGAACCTACCGACCACCATCTCTTGCGCCCTAAATTCAATTGTGATGAAGTTCTTGGGGGCCATGAAGGCTTCTACTGCCTATATTTCTAATAGTGACCGAAATAAGAAGAACGTCTTAAAAACCATTCTTCTTGCAGTCAAAGACGGGGTTGCCACTTGAACTAATAATGATAAGGAGCTTGAAAAGTTTGTGTCGAATCGTTTTATGAATCTTTGATCTTCCTCTTATGTTTGTACCTAGAGAATCCCTGTGCGCTGGGTCAAATCTCTTCCCATGAAGCTATTCAGGGTCTTCAGGAGCTTGCGACGACTCTTAATACCGTTAGAAGAGCTTCTTGGGAGCCCCGGCCTTTGACGGTGACGGGCTTCGCACGATCTTTTTCCACTCCCAAAGGGATGGGATCGGCAACTGTTCGTTCGCTTGTCACGGATATTATTAGCTCTAGAGTCGTGCCCCGAGGTCCTCGTGACACTTTGATTTCTCTTATTCCCGTGCTTCAAGTCGTCTGATCAGTCCGCGTAATACGAATTATAGAATCATCTCAAAATTTTTCGAGCAAAGACTAAGACCTTTCCCGGATGACCCGACTAGTCCTAGTCAATCTAGTTTCATCCCGGGTAGGAGAACTCATGAGGATATGGTCGTTGTTAGAGGAGTCATTCATATGAGGAAGCTACCAAGGGCAAAAGGAGCTTTCCATTTTAATCTGATGTTGTGGGGTGCGGTGCGATCCTATTCTCAAGTTTATCTCGTCTCCATCCACCCCATTCTTATTAATGGTAATCTGTGGGAGCCTTTTTTGACGAGCGGAGACATTAAGCAAGGAGATACTATGTCCCTTATCTCTTTATCATATGCATATGCATGTAGGTGTTGACATCTAATTTTTTTATCGACACATCAAGTAAATTCCTTTTTTGTAAAAAATATGAAGTAGTAATTACAATGTCAACTCTCAAGACATTCTGCAAATGTCATAAATTTTATAACTTCTATTATTTTACAAAATTGTACATGCACATAGGATAATTTTAAGTTGATCTTTTGCTGTTCTATTCACCAGGCATCACAAATATTTTGATGTTTTCATCTTAATATTTTACTTTCACTCATATTTCATATTGTACTTCATGTGAGATGTTGGTATTTTCTGAGATTTATGGCATTTCGCTCGAGTAAAACAAATCAATTTGCTAATGTAATATGCCCAAAATAGTATTCAAGTTATCTTCATTTGTTAAATTGACAATTTTTTACTGGTACATGTAAATGAAAATTGTTGCCACTGAGCAGGGAAAAGCTCTTGAAATAAACACATATTCAGAAAATTAGATTTCACGAAAATCGCACGGTCAACTACAAAAGTATGATGAGAAATGATGGGCAAAATCTTAATTAAAAAAAATCGAATCTTTACAACATCAAATTATGAATTTTTGTAGAACCTCTAGCAGTTATTCAACTTTAAATCTTTCTTATTTAACAAATATTCAAACTCACCTAACAAATAAGACCGAACCTTTACAAACTAATCCGAAGGGTGGACATCGTGCTGTGTTTTCACTATTCAGGGACAAACCGGACCACCTATTATAGGAGATAAATAATGGTGGTCTGCTCATAATCGACAGATGGAAACGCGTATATACAAATATAGGTTGTAGGTGTTTGCTTAGTTACAGTGCGATATTTCATTGGTGTCGATGTATTGACTAATTTTCAATATGAACATACTTATGGTACATGTAATATATCGACTAATGGGTAATTCTCTTATTATATTTCGGGGCCGTTTCCTTTCACAGGAGGTGGCACAATTACCTAAGAATGAACGGTACGAAATCAAAGATGTGCTGATCGAGGCTGAGGTAAGCAAGCTATCTCCATCTGGGAAAATGACCAAATTCGATGTGTGAAAACTTGACCATCAATCCTTTGTTGGTTAGATTAAATCAAATTCACACATCGATAACGCGCATCGTTAAATTTGGAAAAATGCGATAGAAATTAGATCGGCCCATCGAAACATTCAAAAATTGTTAAGAGGTTGCTCAATATGGTTAGCTAAGCATACCGCATCGATAACTAATTATAGTATTGTGCTTTGACATTCGGATGAGCATTGACAAAAGAGTTGCATGATTCAACTTTCATTAAAACTTTACACGCCGAAGAGAAGTTACAAATTGTCAAATGCTATCCAAGTAGGATCCGGCCGGAATCTCACTATTAAACATCCCATCCCCCAACACAGAACCTGCAGAACCTTCACATACACGCCTAGACTTATGGCTTCCCTTCGCAATTTTCTCCTCGACGTCCTCGTCCTCTTCATCCTCCTCTCAAATCTCATGTTTATTGTTGCCAATCACCTGTCATCTGACAAACCACAGACTTACATTATCCATGTCACACACCCTGAATCTGACGTAGAAGATGTTCAGTCTTGGTACGACGCCTTCTTGCCAGAGAGATACTCTCCAAACTCAGAGAATCGATCCCGAATTCTCTACGCATACCAACGGGTCATGACGGGTTTCGCAGCGAGACTCACTCGTGGTGAACTCGCTGCGATCAAAGAGAAGAGGGGATTTATTGCAGCTCACTTGGAGAAGACATATCATCTCCAAACGACCCACAGTCCCCAATTCCTGGGCTTACCACAGCAACCGGGATCCTCGAGGGGTTCAAATCTGGGGAAGGGGATCATCATTGGGATCCTCGACACTGGAGTATCGCCCAACCATCCTTCGTTCAGGGGAAACGGGATGCCTCCACCGCCAGCTAAGTGGAAAGGAAGGTGCGATTTTAAACCTTCTGAATGCAATAATAAATTGATTGGAGCAAGATCTTTTCAGATGTCAGTTAATGGCAAAGAATACGCACCTCCGATGGATCATCAGGGGCACGGCACTCACACCGCTAGCACCGCTGCCGGTGCTTTTGTGAAGCCCGCAGACTTTCTCGGGAGTGCCAGGGGCACAGCTGTGGGAATGGCGCCAAAAGCTCACCTGTCAATATATAAAGTGTGCAATGAAAGTTTCTGTTCGGCGGCGGACATACTTGCAGCTATTGACGCTGCAATCATAGATGGTGTCGATGTGCTCTCCCTCTCCTTAGGAGGTGGATCCATTCCGTTTTACAAAGATTTTGTGGCAATAGGCGCATTTGCAGCCATTCAGAATGGCGTCTTTGTGAGCGCCTCTGCCGGGAACTCCGGCTATTTACCAAGCACATTATCAAACGAGGCTCCATGGATCCTCACCGTTGGGGCAAGCACCATTGACAGAGACTTTGTAGCCACCGTGAAACTGGGAAATGGAGTGGAATATGACGGCGAGTCAATATTCCAACCACACTTCCCCTCGGACTTACTGCCCCTCGAGTACCCAGGGATGATCACTAAAGAAGGGGCTGGATTTTGTACCCAGGGATCATTAGAAGGACTGGATGTGAAGGGGAAAGTAGTCTTCTGTGACGGAGTTCTTGACCAAGGGCAGGCAGTGAAAGACGCCGGTGGGGCTGCCTTGATTTTGATGAGTCAACAAGCTGATGAATCCTTCATCACCCCTGGAATTTTTGTCCTCCCAGCATCTAGAGTCAACTACTTTGCCGGGATGAACATCAAAGCATATATTAATTCAACCGAAGATCCTACTGCCACCATTGTGTTCAAAGGAACTGTGTTTGCAAACCCAACAGCTCCTGCGGTGGCCCCCTTCTCCTCGAGAGGCCCCAGCATGGCTAGCCCAGGTATTCTGAAACCCGACATAATTGGTCCTGGTGAAAACATATTGGCCGCATGGCCTTTTCCAATTGCCAATGAAACAAAATCAAAGCTCAACTTCAATATGGACTCTGGCACTTCCGTTTCTTGCCCTCACCTCAGCGGAATTGCGGCTTTGGTAAAGAGGGCTCATCCCCACTGGACACCTGCGGCCATCAAGTCTGCCATCATGACTTCTGCGGGACAACTGAACCTTGGGAAAGGACCCATCCTTGATGAAAGGCTTCAACCTGCGGATTTATTTGCCATTGGGGCTGGCCATGTCAATCCACGGAAGGCCATTGATCCAGGTTTGGTTTACGACATTCAACCTGATGATTACATACCTTATCTATGTGGTCTAGGATACACGGACAAGCAAGTGTCAATGATCGCTCACAGACCAATCAAATGCTCTAGAGTATCAAACATTCCTGAGGCAGAGCTGAACTACCCGTCATTTTCAGTTGCCCTTGGACCTCCACAGACATTTACCAGGACCGTGACAAATGTTGGTGAACCATTTTCATCTTATGCAGTCACTGTTGTTCCCCCACAAGGTGTGTATGTCAACGTGAAGCCTGCCCAACTCAGCTTCTCAGAAGTTCTCCAGAAAGCAACATACTCTGTCACTTTCCGCCGTGCCAATTCCACTTATGAGGCTGGCAAATACACCCAGGGTTATCTGAAGTGGGTTTCTGGAAAATACCTGGTTAGGAGTCCAATATCTGTTAAATTCAATTAATGAAGTATGTGGTAATAATTGCTAGCATCATCGATGTATGCAGACAACTTTTGGCAGATGACAGGTTTCTGATCTCCAATGTTCTGCATCTTAATAAATTCCAGAGTTTCCACAAATGAAACTAGCAGATGTTCTTCAATATCTAATCGCCACCCTTCAACAAGAAGATATAATAAATGAAAACTTTGTGCTGTAGTATTTTTTTTCCCACCACCATAAGCTTGGAGTCAAATGCCCGAGAACAACGAAATACAAAAGGGGTTTCATATCAACATGCCGTATACTATCCGACTGGTGTTGCGTAGTATATACAGAAAGCAAACAGCAGCCCATATAATAAACCATAAGTAACGGTATAATCGAGCTAGTTTTCTCCATTTACACTTCACTAGTCCCATCCAAGCACTTGTTTTTCGCGAATTCCTAGCTATCAAATAATCATTACCGCTAACTACCATATATTATCTATAAGCTAGGAGAGGTAGCATTAAAGTCTATTCATTCTTCATTGATGTCCTTTTTCGTAAGCTATTTTGTTATACTTGCGAATCCAGGAAATAAGACGAAATGTTCTCGTCAAGCCCAAGCGCATGTTAAGAACAAGCAGATCGCTCATAGCAATGTCGCAAACATTTACATCCCCTGATGGCTGAATTCAACCCAAGCATCGGCGTTGGCACCTAAATTTTCCCCTAAAAATTTTTCATTCCTTCGGTCAGAAAACTAGGACGTGATTTGACTTCTAAACAAAAACATTAATTATGCATGATCTTGCATCTGCATTTCTTACTGCATTTTCTCTACATCTAGAAGTTAGAGTCATTTTTGCTTAGGTGTCCGTGTCAGATATCAACTGAGGCGAGATCATAAATTTTTGTGAGCCGACCCATTATGCCACCCGATCTGGAATTTCCGAAGCATTGGACGCTCATTCCAAACCTCGGTGAGGTGCGAACATGGCTCAGCACCGCCTGAAACCGCCACCATCAGGATAGTCTTGAACAGCCTCGACCGGGTGCTACTGTGTTTCGGCGTAGCCCATCATCACCGAGTCCGAGAGTTTGCGAGCTCTCCAGATGTGCTCAAGGTCGGTGATTTGCTTTTTCATTACTCGTCTGCTCCAGACTCCGAAAAAACAAAAGAGGAAGAGGTGAGGGCGCGAGAGAGAAACAGAGGGTGAGAGGACCTGAACACAATAGAGAAAAACAAAGAAAAAATCAGAGGCAGTTCATAGCCTTCGGTCCAGGTGAACCAACAGTTGATTGGCAAAGGGCCGGCCAGGAATCATGCGACACAGTATCGCCGTTTGTCACTGCCGTCGACGCTAACTGCCATCTTATTGCCGTTCGTTCAGATTAGTTCGTTGCTGACAGTTGGCGCCACTGCCGTGGAAACCAAAACCCCCATGGTTCCAATCGTTGGCCTGGAATTGCGCTGTTGCCAAGTCGAGTTGGATTGAGTCACTCATCGCGTTGTCAAATGTTTCTAATTGTCCTCGATTTTGTCGAGTTAGATGCGATCGATCGACTTTCAATAAATTTCGGATCAGATCGTGTGGCAAGCAAAGTAACTGGCCATTAAAAGCTCCCTCATCTTCCAGTGTTTGAGCCGCAATTTCTTGGTTTCTTCAAATACTGCAAAGAGGTTGCAGCAAATATTTGTTGAAAAACATGGAGACGGATTGGGAGTGGTATACTCTTTATCTGGATGGTTAAATGACAATCCATCAAGTTACCATATCAAACTTGTTTCTGGGCCTAAACTTGTTAGTCAGATTTTATTTTGTGTTGCCTATTGCCTAATACTTCTATCGGTCGATGCCTATCTGACCTCTCGAGATGTGTTATCCATGCGTTGGAGATGGGTCTGATGCATCTTATGAAGTGAGAGAGAGCGAGAGTTGCTGCTTTCCTGAAATAACTAGATGGATTCCTCTATTCATATTTTTCGCTCTGTAGTTCTTGTTGTCATGGGTGTGATGTTTGATGCAGTTGGATAAACAGAGGCCCTGAGTATATTAGTCTGGGTTGGATGCCTTGACTATGTTATTGAGAGAGCAAGGCCCAAACAAGTCGGGGCATTGTCTTAACTGGCCCTGTATTGTACTTTTGGTAGGTATCACATAATCTTACTTAGAGGCCTCGAATATAGGCTTAGTTCCTATAAGGCTACGATATCATCTTCATGATAGGTTGGTAATAATTGAAATTCTAAGATGCAATGCATTAGTATGATTTTGAGTAGAACATTTGGTCACAATTTGTTATCGTTCTTAAGTATATTTTGAGCCATGAATTCAAGCAAAACATTAATTAGAATCGGCCACGATCAGTTGCTGTCTACGTTAATATTTGCATGAGTCCGTACGTCATTATGTTAGCTTAGTCACATATTTAGCATTGGGGCTTAAATACTTTTTGTTAAGATCATGCATCTTTAAACTAAATTGGCTAGATAGACTAACATTGAAAAATCATTAAAAGGTCTAGGATTAACTTGGCCAAATCGAAAGGTTTAGACTAAATTAATAGCCGTACAATATGTTCATGACTAGTTGGGTAATTTTCCTGTGGATTATTGGATGTGCGAAGAAGAACTAACTATAATTTATCTCGAATATTGTCTATAGTATTGTTAGACATAGCAAAGCTAGTTTCAAGAGACTAACTAAACTTTAGATAATTCACATTATAGACTATAAAGAATTCTTTTATTTTAAGACCTTAGCATGTTCTTAAAAAGCTACAACCCAATACTTTGGGGTTGTAAATAGAATAGGGGGTATTCGCTATCTCAAAGGAAGAAAAAAGATTGGGAGGGAATTGGCGGTACAGGATGTTCGGGTATCAGCACGTTAAATAAAGAAACGCATTTGTGGAGTCCGCCTGTACATAACTCTAAGTCAAACTTATTTGACGTGAGCCATACTTATTTAGTTATTTCGACATCTAAATTCACTTGTACATTTAGGACTGGAGCACAAAGTTTTGAGAAAATTTCGACTAAGTACTTGAAGTGGGACTATTTTTTCAAAAGAGTGCCCAGAATGGACCTTATCTGAAATACAGGCTTGAAGTGGCAAGTTTAATCTCAATTAAGGGGAAAATTATCCAAAAAGTCATAAACCTATTGTAAAGCTACATCAATAGGCATGCGGCCCTGCTGGTAAAAGAATTGAAGGGTGAGGACGCTAGTGTCATAACTGCAGGGTTTGAATCCTGTACTCTACACAGAGGCAAAGCAAAAGTCAGAGAGAGAAAAGAGAGTTAGAGATAGGACAGATAAAAAAAAATTATACAGCTATCACTTCAGTCTAAACTCCCAATTTGACCAATGTAGTGCTAAACCATTTGACGATTACTTATGTAATCCATCCGACCAATTTATATCGGAAATCGCCGACATGGTGGTTCAGTTAGCACCGACCATCATATGTGGCATGGCTAGCAATTTGACCTGTTTGATGGGCTCAAAACGATGTTGTTTTGAGAATTCTTTTAATTTTTTTAATTTTTTTTCTTTTCTTATCTTTTCTACCTTCATCTTCCCGAATAAATACGACGTGATGTCCAGCTCGGTTTCCAGCAGCATCATCACCTCAACGTCTCTATAGCTCTATCAGCTTGGTGATAACAGTGGGCTAGAATATAACAAGTATATAGTTGATAACCCAGGGTAGACCAAGTAGACCGTCAAATGGGTAGGTCGGATCGAGTTAGGTCAAAAAATGGTCCGATCCAAATAGACCCATTTAATCTGTTTTGACTCACTTTTCAATCAATGTAAATATAGTGACACATACCCGACTTGACCCATATTGCTAAAATACTTATATATTTAACATAATCTAGGAAAACTTATACCCAAACTGAGTTATGAAGGTAGAGTGAGTGAGAGCAAGATCAAGTGAGGGCGAGAGAGAATGAAGAGAGAATCATAGAGGTGAGTTGGGTCTAAATATGTTTTAAACACATTTAATATCCATTTATAACCTATTTAATACCCATATTATGTTTAAACCAATTTATGTCTCATTTACTGAATATAACTAACTTATAAAATAACTTAGCTCATCATATATGGGTTAAGAAATATGTTTATGACCTATTTTGATAGGTTTACGGCCAAGCACCGAGTCCTACCAGCTAGGCACAATCAGTTTCTAAAAAAAAGTTATTTTAATCAGAAAAATTAAAAAATTAACTATTTTTTCAAACACTAAACGTAATAAAAGATAGCTGATGAAAATTAATGTAAACACTCCTTCAATTAAACCAAATTCAATACGAGTATATGTTCAAATAATTTGAAAAAAGTTACACGTAGCGATGCCCTAATAAAGATTATATACAAATTACACCAAAAGAAAATATCTAATAAATTCGGTGTCTAAAGATTATATACAAATTACACCAAAAGAAAATATCTAATAAATTCGGTGTCTTCGACACCGTGTTCCTCACCATGTTTCGAATGATACAGTGTTGTTGTCGTCTTCTTGCCACGTTCCTCAGGAGTCAATTTTTGTAAAAACCTTTCATGCCTATGAGGATCATTTTTTTGAATTTTTTCCGCAGGCAAGTGGGACAAGGACTGCAACAATACCGTTGACACTGATGGAGTTTGCACGTCACGAGCCATGGTGGAAAGAATTGCCAAACCGTTTGATCAAACTCCGGATTAGCGGGGGGTTAATGCTGGCATTGTCTAGCGTGATAGTGAAGATTCTATCGGAGATGTTAGACTCATTGACAGCTCTCATTATTTTGGCAGCCACATTTCGGGTATCATGCGGGAATATTAACTTCTTAAATGCAAGAGTTCGGTGACACTAATTTTTATTCCCCATTGACGAAATGGCCGGGGACGACACAATGCATGTGATGCATAGGGCTAATCAATACATCAAAAGTCAAAGAGACTCAAAAGTTAGCCGCTGATAGCAGACGCACCAATGCTGACCTTTCCTCTAAGTAGAGCGACTCGCTCTTAATTTTTTA